AAAAAAAGGCACAGAATATTTTAGATAATAATAATAATAATAAAAATTATTCTGGAAAATATGGTTTAAAAAAGTGACTCCTTAAAGTATGGGTAAAAAATACAGTTAGTCGCTTTGGAATATAAGTTGCAGCTTGTTTCTATAATAACTTATATTCTGAAAATACAGTGAGATAATTGAAAAGCTAATAGTGTTACAGAAAATATGGTTAAAATATAAGGATAAAATAGTCACTTTGCAGTATAGGTTGCATCATGTTTCAGATGATAAAAATCTACTTATTTTGGAAAACACAGTTAAAAAAATAAATGCAACTTCATTTACAGAAAATACAGTAAAAAAATAAACATGTAAAATTGCTGCAGGGCATGAAGATCTTCTTTCTGCTGCTGGTGACTGTGTATGTGCTGTATCTGCTGTTTCTGGTGCTGCGCGCCTGCTCCGAGCTCAAGAACACTCCCTACACAGGTAACACACACACACACACACTCTCTCTCTCTCTCTCTCTCTCTCTCTCTCTCTCTCTCTCTCTCTCTCTCTCTCTCTCTCTCTCTCTCTCTCTCTCTCTCTCTCTCTCTCTCTCTCTCTCTCTCTCTCTCTCTCTCTCTCTCTCTCTCTCTCTCTCTCTCTCTCTCTCTCTCTCTCTCTCTCTCTCTCTCTCTCTCTCTCTCTCTCTCTCTCTCTCTCTCTCTCTCTCTCTCTCTCTCTCTCTCTCTCTCTCTCTCTCTCTCTCTCTCTCTCTCTCTCTCTCTCTCTCTCTCTCTCTCTCTCTCTCTCTCTCTCTCTCTCTCTCTCTCTCTCTCTCTCTCTCTCTCTCTCTCTCTCTCTCTCTCTCTCTCTCTCTCTCTCTCTCTCTCTCTCTCTCTCTCTCTCTCTCTCTCTCTCTCTCTCTCTCTCTCTCTCTCTCTCTCTCTCTCTCTCTCTCTCTCTCTCTCTCTCTCTCTCTCTCTCTCTCTCTCTCTCTCTCTCTCTCTCTCTCTCTCTCTCTCTCTCTCTCTCTCTCTCTCTCTCTCTCTCTCTCTCTCTCTCTCTCTCTCTCTCTCTCTCTCTCTCTCTCTCTCTCTCTCTCTCTCTCTCTCTCTCTCTCTCTCTCTCTCTCTCTCTCTCTCTCTCTCTCTCTCTCTCTCTCTCTCTCTCTCTCTCTCTCTCTCTCTCTCTCTCTCTCTCTCTCTCTCTCTCTCTCTCTCTCTCTCTCTCTCTCTCTCTCTCTCTCTCTCTCTCTCTCTCTCTCTCTCTCTCTCTCTCTCTCTCTCTCTCTCTCTCTCTCTCTCTCTCTCTCTCTCTCTCTCTCTCTCTCTCTCTCTCTCTCTCTCTCTCTCTCTCTCTCTCTCTCTCTCTCTCTCTCTCTCTCTCTCTCTCTCTCTCTCTCTCTCTCTCTCTCTCTCTCTCTCTCTCTCTCTCTCTCTCTCTCTCTCTCTCTCTCTCTCTCTCTCTCTCTCTCTCTCTCTCTCTCTCTCTCTCTCTCTCTCTCTCTCTCTCTCTCTCTCTCTCTCTCTCTCTCTCTCTCTCTCTCTCTCTCTCTCTCTCTCTCTCTCTCTCTCTCTCTCTCTCTCTCTCTCTCTCTCTCTCTCTCTCTCTCTCTCTCTCTCTCTCTCTCTCTCTCTCTCTCTCTCTCTCTCTCTCTCTCTCTCTCTCTCTCTCTCTCTCTCTCTCTCTCTCTCTCTCTCTCTCTCTCTCTCTCTCTCTCTCTCTCTCTCTCTCTCTCTCTCTCTCTCTCTCTCTCTCTCTCTCTCTCTCTCTCTCTCTCTCTCTCTCTCTCTCTCTCTCTCTCTCTCTCTCTCTCTCTCTCTCTCTCTCTCTCTCTCTCTCTCTCTCTCTCTCTCTCTCTCTCTCTCTCTCTCTCTCTCTCTCTCTCTCTCTCTCTCTCTCTCTCTCTCTCTCTCTCTCTCTCTCTCTCTCTCTCTCTCTCTCTCTCTCTCTCTCTCTCTCTCTCTCTCTCTCTCTCTCTCTCTCTCTCTCTCTCTCTCTCTCTCTCTCTCTCTCTCTCTCTCTCTCTCTCTCTCTCTCTCTCTCTCTCTCTCTCTCTCTCTCTCTCTCTCTCTCTCTCTCTCTCTCTCTCTCTCTCTCTCTCTCTCTCTCTCTCTCTCTCTCTCTCTCTCTCTCTCTCTCTCTCTCTCTCTCTCTCTCTCTCTCTCTCTCTCTCTCTCTCTCTCTCTCTCTCTCTCTCTCTCTCTCTCTCTCTCTCTCTCTCTCTCTCTCTCTCTCTCTCTCTCTCTCTCTCTCTCTCTCTCTCTCTCTCTCTCTCTCTCTCTCTCTCTCTCTCTCTCTCTCTCTCTCTCTCTCTCTCTCTCTCTCTCTCTCTCTCTCTCTCTCTCTCTCTCTCTCTCTCTCTCTCTCTCTCTCTCTCTCTCTCTCTCTCTCTCTCTCTCTCTCTCTCTCTCTCTCTCTCTCTCTCTCTCTCTCTCTCTCTCTCTCTCTCTCTCTCTCTCTCTCTCTCTCTCTCTCTCTCTCTCTCTCTCTCTCTCTCTCTCTCTCTCTCTCTCTCTCTCTCTCTCTCTCTCTCTCTCTCTCTCTCTCTCTCTCTCTCTCTCTCTCTCTCTCTCTCTCTCTCTCTCTCTCTCTCTCTCTCTCTCTCTCTCTCTCTCTCTCTCTCTCTCTCTCTCTCTCTCTCTCTCTCTCTCTCTCTCTCTCTCTCTCTCTCTCTCTCTCTCTCTCTCTCTCTCTCTCTCTCTCTCTCTCTCTCTCTCTCTCTCTCTCTCTCTCTCTCTCTCTCTCTCTCTCTCTCTCTCTCTCTCTCTCTCTCTCTCTCTCTCTCTCTCTCTCTCTCTCTCTCTCTCTCTCTCTCTCTCTCTCTCTCTCTCTCTCTCTCTCTCTCTCTCTCTCTCTCTCTCTCTCTCTCTCTCTCTCTCTCTCTCTCTCTCTCTCTCTCTCTCTCTCTCTCTCTCTCTCTCTCTCTCTCTCTCTCTCTCTCTCTCTCTCTCTCTCTCTCTCTCTCTCTCTCTCTCTCTCTCTCTCTCTCTCTCTCTCTCTCTCTCTCTCTCTCTCTCTCTCTCTCTCTCTCTCTCTCTCTCTCTCTCTCTCTCTCTCTCTCTCTCTCTCTCTCTCTCTCTCTCTCTCTCTCTCTCTCTCTCTCTCTCTCTCTCTCTCTCTCTCTCTCTCTCTCTCTCTCTCTCTCTCTCTCTCTCTCTCTCTCTCTCTCTCTCTCTCTCTCTCTCTCTCTCTCTCTCTCTCTCTCTCTCTCTCTCTCTCTCTCTCTCTCTCTCTCTCTCTCTCTCTCTCTCTCTCTCTCTCTCTCTCTCTCTCTCTCTCTCTCTCTCTCTCTCTCTCTCTCTCTCTCTCTCTCTCTCTCTCTCTCTCTCTCTCTCTCTCTCTCTCTCTCTCTCTCTCTCTCTCTCTCTCTCTCTCTCTCTCTCTCTCTCTCTCTCTCTCTCTCTCTCTCTCTCTCTCTCTCTCTCTCTCTCTCTCTCTCTCTCTCTCTCTCTCTCTCTCTCTCTCTCTCTCTCTCTCTCTCTCTCTCTCTCTCTCTCTCTCTCTCTCTCTCTCTCTCTCTCTCTCTCTCTCTCTCTCTCTCTCTCTCTCTCTCTCTCTCTCTCTCTCTCTCTCTCTCTCTCTCTCTCTCTCTCTCTCTCTCTCTCTCTCTCTCTCTCTCTCTCTCTCTCTCTCTCTCTCTCTCTCTCTCTCTCTCTCTCTCTCTCTCTCTCTCTCTCTCTCTCTCTCTCTCTCTCTCTCTCTCTCTCTCTCTCTCTCTCTCTCTCTCTCTCTCTCTCTCTCTCTCTCTCTCTCTCTCTCTCTCTCTCTCTCTCTCTCTCTCTCTCTCTCTCTCTCTCTCTCTCTCTCTCTCTCTCTCTCTCTCTCTCTCTCTCTCTCTCTCTCTCTCTCTCTCTCTCTCTCTCTCTCTCTCTCTCTCTCTCTCTCTCTCTCTCTCTCTCTCTCTCTCTCTCTCTCTCTCTCTCTCTCTCTCTCTCTCTCTCTCTCTCTCTCTCTCTCTCTCTCTCTCTCTCTCTCTCTCTCTCTCTCTCTCTCTCTCTCTCTCTCTCTCTCTCTCTCTCTCTCTCTCTCTCTCTCTCTCTCTCTCTCTCTCTCTCTCTCTCTCTCTCTCTCTCTCTCTCTCTCTCTCTCTCTCTCTCTCTCTCTCTCTCTCTCTCTCTCTCTCTCTCTCTCTCTCTCTCTCTCTCTCTCTCTCTCTCTCTCTCTCTCTCTCTCTCTCTCTCTCTCTCTCTCTCTCTCTCTCTCTCTCTCTCTCTCTCTCTCTCTCTCTCTCTCTCTCTCTCTCTCTCTCTCTCTCTCTCTCTCTCTCTCTCTCTCTCTCTCTCTCTCTCTCTCTCTCTCTCTCTCTCTCTCTCTCTCTCTCTCTCTCTCTCTCTCTCTCTCTCTCTCTCTCTCTCTCTCTCTCTCTCTCTCTCTCTCTCTCTCTCTCTCTCTCTCTCTCTCTCTCTCTCTCTCTCTCTCTCTCTCTCTCTCTCTCTCTCTCTCTCTCTCTCTCTCTCTCTCTCTCTCTCTCTCTCTCTCTCTCTCTCTCTCTCTCTCTCTCTCTCTCTCTCTCTCTCTCTCTCTCTCTCTCTCTCTCTCTCTCTCTCTCTCTCTCTCTCTCTCTCTCTCTCTCTCTCTCTCTCTCTCTCTCTCTCTCTCTCTCTCTCTCTCTCTCTCTCTCTCTCTCTCTCTCTCACACACACACACTCTCTCTCTCTCACACACACACTCTCTCTCACGCACACTCACACAGACACACTCTCTCTCACACACACACTCTCTCTCTCTCACACACTCACACAGACACACACTCTCTCTCTCTCTCACACACACACTCTCTCTCTCTCACACACTCACACAGACACACACTCTCTCTCTCTCTCACACACACACTCTCTCTCTCTCACACACTCACACAGACACACACTCTCTCTCTCTCTCACACACACACTCTCTCTCTCTCACACACTCACACAGACACACACTCTCTCTCTCTCTCACACACACACTCTCTCTCTCTCACACACTCACACAGACACACACTCTCTCTCTCTCTCACACACACACTCTCTCTCTCTCACACACTCACACAGACACACACTCTCTCTCTCTCTCACACACACACTCTCTCTCTCTCACACACTCACACAGACACACACTCTCTCTCTCTCTCACACACACACTCTCTCTCTCTCACACACTCACACAGACACACACTCTCTCTCTCTCTCACACACACACTCTCTCTCTCTCACACACTCACACAGACACACACTCTCTCTCTCTCTCACACACACACTCTCTCTCTCTCACACACTCACACAGACACACACTCTCTCTCTCTCTCACACACACACTCTCTCTCTCTCACACACTCACACAGACACACACTCTCTCTCTCTCTCACACACACACTCTCTCTCTCTCACACACTCACACAGACACACACTCTCTCTCTCTCTCACACACACACTCTCTCTCTCTCACACACTCACACAGACACACACTCTCTCTCTCTCTCACACACACACTCTCTCTCTCTCACACACTCACACAGACACACACTCTCTCTCTCTCTCACACACACACTCTCTCTCTCTCACACACTCACACAGACACACACTCTCTCTCTCTCTCACACACACACTCTCTCTCACGCACACACACACACACACACACACTCTCTCTCACACAGACACACACAGAGTACAGCGTGCATGTTTGTGATGGTGGTCTGATTGTTTTGCTCAGATCTGCGGCTGAAGTTCCTGACGGTGCTGACGCTGCTGGTGCTGGTGATCAGGTAAACACTCGGTTCACAGCAGCGTCTGCACATGCAGGCGTTCAGATGAGTGAAGGGCATTTCCTCTTCCTGTTTCCTCAGTGTGCTCATTCTGTACCTGAGATTCGGCTCCAAGGCTTTGCAAGACAACTTTGTTGCCGAACTTTCCACTCACTACCAGAATTATATCCTTCCACTAGAGCTCGTACCGCATCAGTCACCAGAAGTCCGTATGGATTGTAAATGTGTTTCCATTAATAACACATGCCCAGAAAAATCATGACATTTCATTGCTTTAAAGCAGGGTTTTTTCGTTTTTATTAATATTTTAAATTAGTTTTATATTTTCCAAGTTTTAGTAATTTTACCGTTTGTCCTTTTATACAGTCTGTACTGTTTTTATTCATTAAATTTTTTTAGAGCATCAAGTTAAACCAAATACTTTTAAGTTTAAAGTTTTTTTAAATATATATTTTTAACGTTTTGTTTATTTCACGTAACGGAAATCTTTTTTAAGGTTTCGTTATATTACAACTTTCTTAAATTCAGTGATTTGTTTTAATGTTTTTTGCCATTCTTTAAATAAATTTAAAATGTATAGTTTATAATTGTTTTTAATAGTTCAAGTTGAAAATAAGAGATTTTAATTTTATTTCCAGCAACAAAAATATCTTTGTGATGTTAGTCAACTATAATAACCCTGGTTTAAAGTCATACTATTATCGTTTATTTTCAATTAGATTTTGTTTTTCATTTTAGTTCAAGTTGAACGTTTAGATAACACTTTTGTTAAATGGTTGAAATCTAAAGTGGTTCTCCTGAGTGTGTCTGCACCGGCGGAGTTCCTCTCCTTCTACGGCCTGCTGAACTTCTATCTCTACACGCTAGCCTTCGTCTACTCGCCCTCCACAAGCGCTCTGTACGGTGAGTCCATCGCTGTGTGTTTCTGCAGCAAAGCTGGCCTTCGTCACGTAACCGTGTGTGTGTGTGTGTGTGTGTGTGCAGACTCGCAGCTGAAGGACAATCCTGCCTTCTCCATGCTCAACGACTCGGACGATGACGTCATTTACGGGTACGTCCCCACATCACGTCACTCATGCCATCCACACCATGCTTTCTGATGCTCCTGTGTGTGTGTGTTTCTCTGAAGGAGCGATTATGAGGAGACGCCTCTCCAGAACGGCCGCGCCATCAAAGCCAGCGCCAAATACCAGGATGAGAGCGGGAGCGACTGAAAGCGGAGTGACTCCGGATCGCTGGCGTGTGTTTAGCGGCTGCGGTGTGTAAAGCTACAGTGTGTTTGAGTGTCAGCGAAGGCCAGCATTAGATCTGAGCTGCGGCTGATGATCAGTGTTCAGACACTATTAGGATGAATGTCATCGTTCACCTGGAAATTAAAAGGAGAAAAATGAATCCTGTATGTTTTCCTGAAGCTGATGTGTAAAGCACATTTAACTCCTGAAATGATGGAAACCACACGATGAGCTTACCTTAAATTCAGTAGCACTCAGAGTACATTGGTGTTTACTTTTACAAAATGTATTTAGGTTAGGGTTTTTTTTTTTTTTTGCAATGCAGTAAAATGTGCTTAATGAGTGTCCGCTGATGACAGCCAGCGCCGGAGTCAACACCTACAACATATTCAAGGGTGAGCAGAGCCACAGCCACATCAGCAGTCACTGCTCTTCTGATTCAAAACAATGAGTGCTGATGAGGCTGTGCAAAGGATTATGGGGAATGAAGTCAATGACAGAGTGTCAATAGTCTGCAGTGAACCAGGACACTGCAGCTGGTGACCCTGCAGCACAAAACCAGTCAGAAGGGTTAGGGAGATGAATAATTGAGCTTTCCATTGATGTATGGTTTGTTAGGATCGGACAATATTTGAAAATCTGGAATCTGAGGGTGCAAAAAAATCTAAACATTGAGAAAATCATCTTTAAAGTTGTTCAAATGAAGTTCTTAGCAATGCATATTACTAATCAAACATTAAGTTCTGATATATTTACGGTAGGACATTTACAAAATATCTTCATGGAACATGATCTTTACTTAATATCCTAATGATTTTTGGCATAAAAGAGAAATGTATAATTGTGACCCATACAATGTATTGCTGGCTATTGCTACAAATATCCCCCAGCGACTCACACTGCTTTTGTGCTGCAGGGACACAAATATATATTTATTAAGATATTACGAAGAAAAAACTGTCTGTATGTATGTGGTTAGTATTTAATTATAATGATCAAGGCAGAAGTTGGTTTCAGGGTTATTATAGTTAACTAAAACTAAAGCTCTGAAAAATCAAATCAAAAAAATAAACTTAATTTGATTCTATCAACATCTCTCATTTTCCTTCAGTCTAACTCGATGTACTAAAATAAACTAAGACTGAAGTAAAAATGATTCAAACATATTTAAAAGCAACCAAAAGCTAATAAAATGGCAAAAACACACAACTGAATTAGTGAAACTTGAACGAAAATGAGTAATATAAAAACTAATTCAGAATATTAATATGAACTACAGTGGTATCTCAATGATACTAAAAGCCCAACCCTAACACTGGTCGGTTTCTGCAATCGATTTGATCTTTTCAGGTATAACTCATCCGACAACTAAAGGACGAGTAACAGCCAAACCCACGACTACAATTACGAGTACAACTACAAAACCAGCACCAACAACAACCACATCCTCCTCCAGCAGCGCTGAACCCACTGAGTCAGAATCACTCATGATGCTGGAAACCGTCGCTATGACGACCGCACCCACTACCACGGCAACCAGCACCACACAGCCCACCAGCACCAGCACGACTAAAAGCACCAGCACCACACAGCCCACCAGCACCAGCACGACTAAAAGCACCAGCACCAAAGTGCCGCATCCTCCTCCACGGACGCCCATCAAACCCAACCGACCCAAGAAACCCAGCAAACCCTCGAGACCCGAGACGCACTCCCTGAAGCCCACCAGAGTCCCTACAGCCCCCCCGACCAGCCGCACACCATCCACCACAACAGCCACGACCACAGCAGCGCTGCTTGAGCTGGAGAGCGGCCCCGTTCGGTCTCGTCCAGGGAAGCCCAAGGTGTCTCGGGTGATGTGGAAGAACAGCCTGCTGGCCATCGTGGTGACCACACTCGTCTTTGTGTGTGAGAGAGAGTGAGTGTGTGTGAGAGAGAGTGTGAGAGTGTGTGTGAGAGAGTGTGTTTGTGTGTGAGAGAGAGTGAGTGTGTGTGAGAGAGAGAGTGAGTGTGTGTGTGAGAGAGAGTGAGTGTGTTTGTGTGAGAGAGAGTGTGTGTGTGTGTGTGAGAGAGTGTGTCTGTGTGTGAGTGTGTGTGAGAGAGCAGTCACACTGTAACAAACAAACAAACGCCAGCAGCAAGAAACTCTGAAAAAGTGTGAAAGATCAGCTAAATGGTTGACATGATCTGAGGCCAAATATTAAGTGTCCAAAAAGCTCAGTATTTCCCCTGTTTGCCCTCGGCTGAGTCTGGCTCGGGCTTCACGGAGTCGCCCGGAGTTCTGCAACTTTCCAAATATTTGGAAAAGGAAATTCCCCATGTTAGAAAAACAGGCCGTGGCTGGAGGCGAGAAGGTTGAGGTCGCCCTCCATCACAGTGTGTGCCGGTGTTTGTGGTGGAAGTGTCAAATTGAGGTTTGATTCGGTGCCAGATCCCTGCAGAGAGACACTCACACTATACTCGCAAAGCACGCACACTCTCTCACACACACACACACACACACACTCTCTCTCTCTCTCTCTCTCTCTCTCTCTCTCTCTCTCTCACTCTCTCTCACACACACGCTCTCTCTCTCTCTCTCACACTCACACACACACACACACACTCTCTCTCTCTCACTCTCTCGCACACACACACACACACACACACTAGTT